CAAAAACTTCTATACAGATTTCCTTCCTGCAAGCTAGCTTCGAGATCTGATTCAAATTATGTTGACTAATTTTGGTGGGAATAGGACTTGGACCTCAGATTTTCTGTATAATATTTCATACAATTGAAACTTGAATAAGAATTCTGTAGGTTTTTTGTGGAAAGTGTACTAATGGAGCTGTTGTTCAGCTGCCTTTTTAGCAAAACCTTAGCCCAGTCCATATAGCAGCTTAGCAAAAATTTATAAAGGCCTCTGAACTGTTTGCAGATTACTGTAGTAAGTAAGTCCACCATTTTACAGAGAGTGTGCTGAACAAAAGGGAGAATTTGTGAAAGTCATCAGCTTCTATGGGTGTGCATGAACACTTTCAGGACTCATCTCAGTGTTCTCTCCCATTCTCACTTGTTAGTGGAAATGAGGATAAACCAAAAAGGTCTGAAGTCGCACAAGATGCTGATTATTCTTGTGTACTCCAGGGTTTGTTTGTGCTGGCTCAGGCAGAACCTCCATCAAAGCCAAAAGAGTTTCATTTTGTCACTATAGTTCTGAGTGCTGGCAGATGAAGAAAATAGTTTCTTTGTCTTTCTGATTACTCGTATGACAGGTTGTTGATGTTGTTTCTGGCTTAAAATCAATTGGGAAGGAAGCATGACCTGAATTGGCTGAGGTAAGCATTTTTTTACTTAGCATAAGCCTTGTTGTTACATCATAGAGAGTTGGACTTGATTTTGATCCAGCACTGCAACTCAGGAAGCACCTAAGCATGTTGAAGTTCCATTAACTTCAAAGATCATGAAGATGACTTGCCCAGATGTATACAGATGACCGTCAACATCATCTCAGAGATACCATTATTAATGCTAAAAGAAAAGCCACAAGTGCTAGACGGGAGTACAAGGTAGACGGGTAAAAAGGAGCATTGTCACGGTTTGAGGCTGGACCGACCACTAACGAATGACAGACGCTCTCTGTCAACCCCTCTCCCCTCCCAAAAAGGAAAAGGAGAGAGAACAAGGGAGAGAGACTTTACAGTTTGGAAAAGAAAACTAAAACAGCTTTAATGAAACAATAACAATAAAAGAAAAGATAATAATAAGAATAAGGAAATAATGAAATATATACAATATGTACAAATAGATACAAACCCAATACCGAACCCAACTCCCCCCACCCTGGTGACAATCACCACCACACTGCAGGGCTGGCACCGGGGCAGTCCCAGGCTGGACTCAGCAGCAGACAGGGACGGGATGCAGGAGCTGGGTTCAGGCACTGGATTCAGGGATGCACGGATCGGGATCGACGACAGAAGAACAGACAGAGTCCTCCTTGGGTGTCGGCCATCGAAGAAGAGAGAGAGACCCTCGTGATCTCTCAGTTTTTTACTGAATATGACGTATATGGGATGGAGTACTCTGTTGGTCAGGTTTGGGTCACCTGTCCAGTTCACTCCTCCCTGCAGGGGCGACCTTTTTCGTGCTTGTGACACTTTTCAAGCCTGGCACCCCAACACGCAGTACAAGATTTAGCAGTGACCTTGGTCACTACAAGAACAAGTGTAGGCAAGGGCCTCTCTGCACACCATTCCTTGGTACCAACTATAATCCTCAGGCCTTATCACTGCTAGAAGCAGTCACTGTCTGGAAAAACAGGCTGCTGTTTCAGAAAGTGCTGTTAGGTAGGGGAGACTTAACTGAAAAGTTAAAGCACTAAAACAGAATTGGTTCTGGTTTAGCCCAAACCAGGACAAGCATAGATGAAACTCATGAGTTAATTCTTAAAGAAGTGTATGAACAAGCTGTAGGGGCAGATAGACTAGAAAGGACAAACTCTGCATGATCAGCAGGGAAAATAAGAGTGTTGATGGAGTTCAAGGAGTATTACACTCTCAGTCAGTTGCTAAAAACACTTATTTGAGAGGCAAGGACCAGAAACCTGAAAAGAGTGAATTGTCAATGGGAACAGGAACTTCTCAGCCAACTGTGTAATACAGCTAAAAAGAATGTCTCTCCCACAGTTCCTAGACCTGGGTAAATATCCCTTACCTTAAGATAAGGCTAAAAGAAGGAGTCAGATATATTGGTCTAGGAGTCAGAGTTACTAAAAGAATTGAAACAGTTAGTTCTCTTCAGGAGACTGGAGAACTTGACAAGCTGAAGTTAGTCACATGGTATTAAGCAAATAAGGATGGGATTGACTGGAGTAAATACAGATACTTAGAGACTAGTCTTACCTGGGTTAACAACATCAGGCTCCCTTAGGAAGAAATAAGCATTTTTTAGGATTAAATTCTGACCCTTTTTAGGAGTTTTCTTTAGAAATATATTGATTTAAGCATGAGTTAGCAGTGCACCCTTACAGAGATGAGGTTTAACTGTGTCCTGTGTTACATTAGCAAACTGGTATATCAAGAGAAGCAATTGTCTCTATTTGGCACTTGTGAGACTGCATCTCAGCGGAGTACTGTGTGCAGTTTTGGGCTCTTGTGTACGGGAAAGCCATTAATCAGCTCAGCAGAGGGCGTGGAGATGGCACTGGAATAAGCAGCATGTAACAACTAACTGAAAGCTGGGTTTGTTTGGCTTGGAGAAAAGTCATCTGATTGCTGTCTTACCTACCTAATGGGCTTATAGAGAAGATAGAGCAGACTCTTCTCAGATGTGAACAGAAAAAAAAAAAAACCAAGAAACACAAAAGGAAACAATGGAAGCAGCCTGCAGCAAGGGAAATCCTGATTAGATGCATAGAGAAATTCTTCATGGAGGAAGTTGTGTGTGTGCAGGTTGCCCAGAGAGGTTGTGATATCTCCCGTCTTTGGGGATTTTTGATGCTTGACTGGAAAAGGCATTGAAGTGAGTATGGATGAGTGTGTGAGGTAATGAATGTTTAATACATTTGTTGCATACCTCTTTGGAGGTTGATACAGCATATGAGGCAGTGGAGGATAAGGCATTACATCTTGTCTACCCACACAGATATACTTGTGTTTAGTAATCCCTTGCTTTTGGCATCATCTTTCTGAATATAGAACAGATGCTGCATTTAAAGCTCTATAAACCACAGAGGAGTGAAGACAGACCCAGTCCCTATGAACAAGTTTCCTTGGGAAACTGTATAAAGACTCTACAGAATTGGTGACCAAATGCAGAATTTACCCCATAATCCTCCTCTCATCTTCTTTTTTCATCTCCCAACTTTATTCTTGGTACAGCACAAAGGCTCCCTCCCAACTATCACACTTAGATGTCTTCCAAAGGAAAGCAAGACCCGTGGGAATGCTATGCCACTGGCTCTCCATGCTGCAGCTACGACCCCAGGGGCAAATCCAACTGCCAGTGCTGTAACACATTCTTGGGTTCCCTAGTTTACACGTACTTTGAAAGTCACTTAAACTTGAAAGCAGAATGATAGGCACTTTAAGTCAACACAAGCTGTCCAAGTTTAATTGCACTAATATGGTTTAATACAAATACGGAACTTTTAAGTATTCCTTTTCCAGCTTCATTTAACTCAGGTGGCTTGATTTTGGGCATGACCTCACTAGCGCAGAGCAAATTAATAGTGAATTGGTAATACTATAAATATTCTGAAGAATAGTATTATGCATGGATGTGAGCAATTCCTAATCCAAGTTTCATGTTCTGTACTGAAAGGAACAAACTGTCCCTTAGACTTTCTAATAATCTTATGGAAATAATACTGGTAGGATAAAAGTTTCTTTTCTCTCTTTAGCATTAATTGTAAATTTCGATTTTCAGTTGCCTTATTTGAAGACATAAATCCCCAGAACTTTGCATATGCCTTTTTTTTTTTTTGAGATAACTTGTACTGAGATAATATGAGTAACATTTCCTTACTTCTTTGTCCTGATAATTTTTCATAGGGCTTATATTCAGAAACCTTAGTAACTCTTCTCTTAGCTTAGAAGACATGCATTATAAGTAGATGCCTTTAAACACATAGAGCATGGTTGATCCAAGTGCCCGTAGTGGGCTATAGGAAGGTTTATGCTCATTTACAAGATACTGCTTTTGAGCCACATTTACGTAGACATTAGCATGGGCAAACCTGTAACAAGTAGTTACTATCTGCTAGTAACAAGTTGTTACTAGTGCTACTATAAAACATGCCTATAAAATGTTATGACCTGCTCTTCCTGAAATCAATGTACAGAAGCGTTCTTTGTTCAAATCTCTGTATTTTGGTTAGGAGAGATGATTTTGTAAGTCCGTGCCCATTGTTCCAAAAATCCTCTGATCAGGATCCGCTCCTATTGTGTTTGTGATGCTGAGTCCAATGAACTACTTAAATATTTCTTTGTGATGTTCAGTCTTCCTGTTATTTCAGATAAAAAAGATAATTTTAACTGTGATTAAGAGATTCTCAAAATTTTGGAATTGTTAATAATCCATATTAATACTCAGATTTATTTTTTAACATTTCTTGTCTTTTCTTAGCATGATCCCATCAAAATGACACAGTCTTAATGAGACATTTTGCAAACAATATATTAACTGATTTAAAAATAAGCTGGTTAATCAGCAGACTCTTAAGATTCCCTTAACGTTTTAATGGAAAATACTGTCTTGGCAACTTTCTTGAAAGAGTCTCATCTTTCTTGAACTACTCATCAAAGCTTCTACCAAGTCTTTATAAGGTAAATACAGTAGGGTGATTTGGACCAGACTGAGCTTTCAAGTCTGTTACTGCTGTTTTTGTTTCAGGATGTGTTGGAATTTGGGATAACATCACCTGTTGGCGTCCTGCAAAGATTGGAGAGACTGTCACTGTCCCTTGTCCAAAAGTATTTAGCCTTTTTTCTGGCAAACCAGGTATTTCATTTTAAGGTGTATTTTTTCTGGCTTTTCTTTAGTATTTTGTAACAATGTGCTAAAAATTGTTTATTTGCAATATAAGGTTTTTATTTTTTTTAAAGAGTTAAAATAATAGATCCTTAACAGAGCTGTCATGATACATCATGAAAAGACCAAATAATTGTCTTTGTGGTCTGTATGGTGTTCTTTGAGTCACATACTAAATGTATATTCTGATATAATGACCTTCATCAAGGCTGAAGACATTGCTTGCTCTTTTTGTCCTATTTGTGTTAGTTAATAAGGCAGCTGAGCCTGACTGACATGTTTAACAGTTGCCAGCAGGTGACATGAAGGTTGTTCCTTCTGTGCTTGGGAGGGGAGCTCTGCCTTGCTTTCATGAGAATAATGAGCCAACATTAACACATAATAACTAAAAAGTGTCACTAATGCAATTTAAGGTAGTTGTGATTAAACCTTTTATCCTGCTTATTAATGGAACTTGAAGAGAGCTCGTCAGTGTCTCAAATTGCTGAAATATGCACCTGTTTTAAGTCTGCCGTCTTCTGCACCAACTTGTCAATACATGATACTGTGGTTTAATTTTGCACACTTTTGCTTGTTAGTGGGGTTTTGAAAACAGATAATGCAAACACAGCATTTCACATATATATCTTGAAATGCAACAGGGAAAATCTTATGCCCATTGATCAGGTGAGAACCCTTTATCATGAAGAGCTGGTGAAAGATGCAAAACTTATCACAGTGATTTAATTCTGCTTTTAAGGTCTCCGTGGAGAGCTTTTTTACAATATTACTTTTTACATAGAGGCTAACTTGGGATATGACTAAAATACCTTTATTCTCAAAATTGTTGATTAAGTCTTTTTCCAGTAAAAAATAGGTAACTAAAATAATCTATGGATGAGCAAATATTTTCATTCCTGGTGGTGGTGAATCTTGATTACTTTATCATGGGTAGTCTAAACAGTTTATAAAGGGGAAAGTATGCATAGTCTTCACTAAATCTGATGAAATCTATAAAAGTATTCAAATGACTCAAGTAAAGATATTAAGATGTCATGAGACAAGGCAAACTAATAAATACAAAAAATTCAGGATCTAAATTAAATCACACTGCTTCTCTCTATTTACCAAAAGTTAGAGCATGCACACTCTCTCTGGAGTTTGGATGTCTGGTATTTCACAACTGTTAACATCTTATATTACAATAACATTTTAATTTTCCTATAAAACAAGGGCAATAAATATTTAAGTTTGAAACCTTCACAGTGCATTACAACTCTGTCTCACTTGGGCATGGCATCATCAAGACTGAAAGATCACTTTCTTTTTATAGTTTGCTGTAATTTTCCTGTATACAGCTTTTTTCGTAGCTACCCGTTTACTTCTTGCTTCTTGCTTGTGGAAATAACAGAATGGTTTTCAGAGGTACTTGTTCAATTTAGAGGATTTTTTAAATCTTGTCTTTCTATAATTTCAGAGAAGGAAGACAGCAAACATCTTGCATGGTTGATTCAATTAAGATATAACTAAGTATCTCAGCACCTTTATAATTTGATTATGCTCAGGAGTATATAGTTTATTTAATTCGTACACAGCACATTTCAAATTCCCTTGATTCTTATGGCAGGAAATTATAAAAATATCTTTAAACAGGAAATCTAACTCTTTTTATTTAGCCAGATTTATGAGATATATGTTTTAGTTTTTTCAGGGCTTAAGAGGAATTAAAATTCTACTACCAGGTAATCTAGACTACCTTATTTTTTATGGAAGTATTCCAAATCACAAGTACGCTTTTAAACACTATCAATTCTTTAAAGGATGTCTTAATTTAAATTGTAATTAAAAAGAGTAGTTGTCTTCTATCTTTACAACTTTTGGAGAACCAAAACTTCTTCTGTGATGGTCGAGGTTGTAGTTTAAGCATACCACATAATTAATTCTCTATTGAATATTAGTAATTATATCAAATGACTTTTTACTGTAAAAGCAATCATATTATCCCATAATGTTTTTTCTGTATTGTACATGACAATGTAATTATATGTGTATCAGAAAGTTATTCTGTGAATTTTTTATTCAAATGTATGTGTCAAGTTATAGGTTTTAAATGAGGTTGCCATCTGAAATATTTAATTGCGTGGAACAATGGTGTAGAAATAAACAGTGTTTTCCATAGAACAGTTAGGCAATGTTAGAAGGCTTTACAGTATTTATAGTAGAAAGTACTTTAGCATCTTAGTCCATAGAGTCTTTTTCTTGCAAAACGGGCTTTGATGTAATATGTGATTCTCTTAACACATTCCTCTGCTCTGCCTAGTCAGAGAATGTTGATGTACTTTTAAAGTGAAGACTCTTCAGAGTGTATAAATAGGTTGCATTTTCTTTAAAAAATGCCATGTCAATGTCAAATGGCAGAAATGTCCTGTTGTTTGAGGAGACACTGTGGTTTGAGGTCAAGGTCTTGTTACAAGCTAGAAAGATTTGGTTGTTGGTTGGTAAACCATTTGTAGGATATTTACAGCTTTCCACTGAAGACTTTATACAAAGAAGAAATTCCAGTAACCAATCAGCAAGATAAAAATCACAAAAGCTTTAGTTTGGAGTGTATATAAACATGTTTGATTATTCTTGGCCCAAGTTGATCTGTGACACATAAACTTGTTCTTGTGTGGTGAAAAACAGGCATCTTTAATCAGTTAAAGACCACTCCAAACCAAAGCAGTATGTTACAGATTTCAAGATCGTGGATATAAAAAATGCTGTATAGAAAATTGAGGGAAAATTGCTTATGATTTAACATTGTAATAGTAAGTTACAATAATTTTAGTGACTACTCTTTATTCTGACATCAGACTCTTAAGTTTTCTCCTACTGGAGCTGTTCCATATTGTGTGATCATTAGTGCGTATTAATTAGATGAAGGAGTAGAATCAGGGGTTGCCCCCCTCTCATCTGCATGGCTTCATCTGGGAAAAGTCAACAACTTCTCTCCACTCCAATCAAAAAATACTTTCTGAAATGAATAGATGTTCAAAATTTCTTTCCAGCCGTACTTGCACATCTCCTGTACGTTCCTTGGACTACATTGCTTCAGTGATTGGTTCAAAGAGTGAGATTCAGCATGCATATTTATTTCCCTGTTCTTCAACCTGTCACATAGTTTGGCCTTTAAAGTGCTTTACCAACTCTACCAACATTTGCTGTAGCAAAAATTCATCACCATACTATCCAAGAGCTTTTATAACTCTTCAGTAGTTCTTCAATTATTGCCTTCTCAGAAAAGCTTAAATAGGAGGCTAGAACTTAAATTACTTTTCTATCAGATTCCTTTACCAACAAATTATCCCCTTTATAGAGTGAGCTGAAAGACTTCCTCCAGAATACTTTGGAAACAACAGCAAAATATTTCAGGCTTTTGCAGATGTAACAGAAATAGCTGTCATACCAAAGCAGAAGCCTGCCATCACAGCTTGGAATTACTTTTGTTTTTTCCTAGTGCAGAGGCAACTCAGAGAAAGAGTAAAACCAAAGTAACATGAATGAAGAGCACATGAAAGGAAGTGTCTGGGTTGCTTTAACAGGAGTGCTAGGAAATACAGGATCAGAGAACAACAAAGTTAGGTTGTCTAAAGATTCATTGATGAGGAGACTTTGGAATCTTTCTGATTTAAACTCTCAAATTTTGCTTTATAGGAAATATTAGCAAAAATTGTACGAGTAATGGGTGGTCAGATATTTTTCCTGACATCTTAAGTACTTGTGGATATAATGACTATGAAGATGATTATAAGGTAGGAAAAATACTTTTTCTATTCATTTAGATGCTTCTATTCAATACTGCAATCAGACCTATTCTGCTTCTAAATAATTCCCATTTTACTCCATCAGAATTAATGAAAATCTGTAGTAATTTTTGGTAGCATTGATTGCCATATGCTTGGAGTGAAAATGTCATATAAGATAAAATCAGAAATGTAGAATTCAGTAACTGAAACTCAAGGCTATAAACAGTTGGTAATTGCAGTAATGCAGCTGTATTTCTAATATTACAGTGTTACTCGGCTTGTGCACAGTATGTTTTACATTGTGTTGTTTCTGGAATTTTCTATGCTAACAAATCCTAATACTGTAATAATCTGTTAATAATATATGCACCACTTGATTGCTGGTATGTGTTTAAGTTATAAGTAAAAATAGAATTAATTTAGGTAATTGGAATTATTGCAGATTTGTATCAGACTTTAAATTGCGTTAGCAATTAGAAGTAGTTTAAAAAGCTATCAAGATATCTTAAATACACTATAAATGGAAAAATGAATTTGTTCACTTTGCGGATACTATCTCTTGTCCTTTTTGTGGAAGGAAGTATTTTTTCTGTCACGTTTTTCCTATTTTCTAT